TTTAAATTTATGCTTATCGCAAAAACTTTCAAATGGAGACAATTTTTATTGCTTTTATAAGACATCTAAAATACAGAAGCATTTGTTTTTTATATTAAATTCTTAAATTAGGTCTAAAGTTATTCTAAAAATATAAGAGAGGCATTCTTAATAAGACTGCTGTTTCCGTAGAGACATGAAGATAGACTGAACTGTGGCAAAAAAAAAAAAAAAAAAAAAAGAAAAGAAAAGGACATACTTCCTGGTTTATTTACCTTAGTCCTGCTATGAAGACTCTGAGTCCATTTTTTTCTTTTGTTTCTTGGAAGACACTTACTCATACATGTAAAATGGATGTATTGAGCTACTTAAAAATTGAATAGCAAAATGCCTGTAAAGTACTACAGGATGTTTAAGTGAAGATTGCTGTACAATTACCACGTAATTATGTAACAAGCATACAAAAAAAGTCATTTCAAGTGAGAAAAAGTCAATGCCATGAGGTCTCTTGCAAACAGATTCCTCAGGCAACCTAAACACCATTGCTAAACATCACCTACATACTATAGTATGATAGTTGTAGGCTACCAGGAGGTAACAATGACTGAATGCAAAAAGCTTGCAGATGCATCCTGTTCTTCCACTAAGGAAAAAGAACAGTCTGCAGCAAAGACTTGCAAACTATCTATCTGAATTCAGGTCCTTCCCTACTTGCTATTCTGGGCTTGCAGTGTTTCCACACCATATGAATAATTATTTTTTTTAAGCATTAAAATATGCCATTAACACTTACCTATACTGTTTAGTTCCACAGTGTGATAGAAAGTCTATGAATTCATTGTCTCAAATGTGGAAAGAATAACCTTTAAAGCATGATCTGGGGTAATTTTCTATTTTTTTGTATGATAGGGAGTAAACAGTTTTAGGTATATGACATTAAACTGCAGCCATGCCTATGCGTTACTGAACAGTTCACCTGCACCATCTAAGGACTTTGCCATGAAAAGACATTTTTGGTAGTATGCTTTGGCCTAACAAGTTTTCTCATCTAACTCTTCCCTCCGCCGAAATTGTTACAAAAGTCATCAATAATTGGCAGAAAAATAAGTCACTTATTATCTGACAAACTATACTGGTGTTTAATCATCTTCTTGAAAGGGGCTAAAAGGGAGGGGGTAGGCATTTTGTTTAAAACTGAGAATACTTGATAGATTCTTACAGATGAAAGGGAAAGTTCAACTAAATCAATGTGTATCAGACACTTTTTTCCCCTGAAAGAATACTTAATGTCTATATTATCTGTTAAGCAGTTATCCTGTTTTGATTCAGCTAGGCAACTCTTTGCACATTCATACATTTACTGTTTTATTACTTTACAACCTACTAAATATGCTGATAAAAGCCATCTGGATTATGTGACTGTAAATTACTACAGTAAAATTAAGGCAAACCCATTTCTGTTTCTCTCAGGTGCTGCTTTAACCATGACTGCTGCTATGGTAAGGCAGAACGAGCAGGTTGTCACCCTAAGATAGCAAGTTACCACTGGGAATGTGACGACAATGTTGCCATGTGTGGTGAGTGGACGGTTAATGTTTTTGGGTTTATTTTTTCTTGCACTGATTGCCTCATGGACTTCATAAAGAGATGCTTCCTTAACTGCAAAATCCTTATTTTACCTTCCCTCCTTTTGCAACCTCTTTGCAGGGTATGCTATTTTTCGAGAAAGCATGACTATACCAACTGAATGCAATTTCTTTTTCTAAATCCCCACCTGCTGACATAACCAAGCAAAATTCTGATCTACAAGTTTCTATTATTTTTTCAGAAAATACTTCAAAAATAAACAAATCAACCTACCCATTCTCACTCAAGCTGTGTAACATGTACATATATTAAGGAACCCACGCTATGCCATGGTCTCCAACTGGAAAGCAGCTACAAACTGGGACAGAAAATTACAGCTGTTTAAAAAGGATCATTTTTATACTCAGCAGAAAATATTACATACCATTTCTAAGTTCACAATGTACACATTTTTGACATACTTACCACTGACTGACTGCACACCACACTGCTAGTGACTGCAATGCACAAGTGACTGCAATTAAAACTTAAAAGTTCAAACACTGAGGTAATAAGTTATTTGATGAGTATATTTGTTTATTGAAATAGCGTGTCCACAAGCCATAAAATGTAGTTTTGAAAATTCAACCTGATAAAGCTTGTTTGATTGCTCCAAAATATGAATGTAATACATGCCAAGCTACAGTATAAAAGGGAGGGACAAAGAGATGATAAAGAAATGAAACAAATATATGTAACAGGGAGAAGCAACATGTCTTTTCTATGATTTGTTTACAACACTCAGTGTTTTCACATATACTTAAAGAACTTTTTGAAGCTATAACACCTAAGAAGCCCCAAGCTTTGCAAGCCCTTAAAACACTTAACACTTTTTAAAAAATATATTTTTTAAGTCAAAGTTATTTTGCATGTATGCTACTACCCAGAATACAAATCAGGGTATCTTACTATTTGCATTGCAAAAGTGCAGGCCCTTTTATAAATTTGATTAAAAGTTAACTCTCAGACTGACATATTTTACAGGTAGCAGGGTAGGTCATTCAGAGAAAACAAAACAAAAGCCCTCGCTTCACAACTCAATTTAATATTTGCCTGACCTGAAATCAGATGAAGTTTTTTGATGTTATTTTCTTTCCTCCTTTTCATTCAACCCCTATTTTGCCCAAGCATCTAGCTCATATAGACTCTCTACTTAGTAATTTCCTCCTCCGCTCTGGAAGTGCTAAGCATCTTCTCTCTTAAACTATCTAACAGTCAAATTGCAGTCAGCCTATGTTTGGCTGTAAAGGTTCTGCTCCTATTCCAGACCAGAAGCTGACATTTTGAAATACTAGTCAAGGCAATAAGCATATCAGCAATAAATAAAGTTGGAACAAAATAATAAAATAACTTTCTCAAATGGTATGCTAGCAAAGTTTGGAGCAATAACCCTTCCCTTCCTCCCCCCACCCCCCCCAAAAAATAAAAAAATAGTTCTTCTCTAGTCTTCTCAGTTAACATTTTATTTATACTACTTACGCTATTGAGAAGCTTATAGGGTAGCTAGTTACAACATCAACGTATATACATTAAAAACAGTCACATTTCATAGCAGAATTTGAGTTTCTTCATCACAAAACTGAATGCTTGTTCTGCTCCTAGACAAATCTCAAGCAGAGATCGAGGTAAGCTTTCACGCTCTGACAAAACATAATCAATTTTTTTTCAGTTTACAGACTGCTGCAGGAAAAAAAAAATTGCGTTTCTGGGTTGGCACAATAAGACTAAAACATACTGCTGTGGAAGAAACCGTTCATGCCAACAAGAAACATTAATGCTAGAAGACAGCATTCATGGCAAAAAACCCTACTAAGTTTCTGTTAAGGACTACAATTACAAAACAACCATGGCTAGAGATGGATTTTATTGTACTTTAACATACTTTACCTAACTTCTTACAGAATACCTTAATTAAAAAAAAAAGGCGGGGGAGCAGGGAGAATATAAGCTGAAGATGGAACACCTTTGCATTCTTTATTACACATAGATAATTTTTAATGCTACATCCTTTAATGGAGTAAAAGCACATGTGAAATGGAAATTTCTCCCCAAACTCAAATTTCACTAGAGCAAAAGGGCAGGAAAAGAGGGTTACATATCACTTTCCAGAGGAATTAGTTACCAGAATTCCTTTTCTAAAGAAGGTAGAGAACTTTTGCTAAAGCAAACCCTGCTTATGTATCCTCTATTGCTGAGCTGTCCTTGCATGGAGCTCAGTCTAAATACAACAGATTTCCCAATACGCAAAAGAACTGTCTTACTAAAGTTCAGTACAGTTCCTGTTGCATTTGAACTACAAGAGTAAAATAAAGTATGATTGCTGTTTTGTAAAGGATTGCATTATTTATCTGCCAAACATAGAATAGGAAGTAATGATTGCAGTAGTTCCATTTGTTATTTCTAATTACTTCAAACTAATATCAAACTTATTTGTTTTCTTTCAGAATCAATAGAAGAAAAGTGTCAAAAAATGGCATGTGAATGTGATAGCCAAGCTGCCAAATGTTTTTCTAAAGCTCCTTATCATACAAAGTACCTTTTGTGGCCAGATGTTATGTGTGGTGAGATTCAGCCTGTGTGTAGATATTAGGTACAAAACATCAGCCTTTATGAAAACTCCATATGCGTTTAAAACTAGAAAGACTATTTTTATCACAGTATTGACAATAAATGATTTTTCGCTTTCTTGATTCTCCTTCCTGCCACTCTAGCTTCTCTATCCCAGAACGACTGAAGTAAACGTTTACATTCTCATTTATCTTTTACGATACATGGACTAAAAAAGCATGTTCAGTAGTTTGGTGTAAACTTTTATTTACTATCTCAATTCCTAATTAGTGTTTATCAGTTTAATGAGTAACTGACTTAAAATTTGTTTGAATCACAGAATAGTTTGGGTTGGAAAGGACCTTTAAGGACCTTTGGGTTGGAAAGGAGCCTGGCCTTGGGCACTGCCAGGGATGGGGCACCCACAGCTCCTCTGGGCAGCCTGGGCCAGGGCCTCACCACCCTTACAGCAAAGAATTCCTTCCTAATATCTAATATTGTTGGGTTTATATTTAGATTCATAATATCATTCACTGCAAGTTTTCTATCCTCGCTTCCCTGGAATGTAAGATACAATTCACACTTTTCCACTAACATTTATCTTAACATTTGTTACATTTGAACTAATAGGAAGAAATGCATAAAGTGACAGCATCAGCGTAAAAAGCCCTCTTGTCCATATTAAATGTTTATTAAGAAATCTAATTCAACTTTTGAATCTCACTCTACTTAAGAGGTCCTACCTGTATTAAAAATTGCTCAACATAGTTTTTTCTTTTGAAGCATTTACCGTCACAGAAAATGTCAAGCACTTTGATATAAAATAAATACAACTTCTTTAGAAAGGATTAGGATTAAAAAAGGTATCTTTAATCTTTAAAAATATTCATAGGCAGATTTAAAGTTTAACATTAATGATACAAATGAAAAAATCAACAACATAATGCAAGGCAACACAGCTCTTGAATATTTAAGAGCTTCTCCTTCAGTCAAAAAAACAATACATTAAAAAATGGCAATCCAGTTTATACAAAATAACTTTCCAGTCAACATTCACTCACAGATCTAGATACACACCTTATATTGCAGTAAGACATAATTACAGTGTCAGGTCACTTATCCAAAATAATCCCTTTAAGAGATAACCCTGAATTTAAGGATTAGCAACAGACTTTAAGAGGAGAGCATTAAAGAAACTATCGATGAAATCTAACTGATCTGAACAAAACAAAGCAAATTGAATTGCAAATCACCAATATCTTCCAAAGTGCAAGAAAACGCAGTCTTTGCCTTCAAGAGGGGGAATTCTAGAACAAACTTCACTGTGCATTTGACAGTCACAACTTCACATGTAACGCAGGCTGAAAACACTGAAGTACTTTCAATATCAAGCCTGTCTAGGAGGAGCTCTCCTTTGGCAAGTTTAAGTTCTGAGCAACACATTTCCCTGGTATGAAATACTAAGTTAAACACTACTGTAGCTGTTCAGAAGACACCGATTTTAAGACAGAATAGAGACGTTTGATTTGATCAAAAATATGATGACATGACTAAGTTTTAAATGGCAAAATCAGGAATACAGATATACTTTTTTTACTAGAAAAATAATTTTGGATAATAAAGCCCATCCTCAGAGTTGGAATCAACTGTTTAAGAGTAACTTACCTTAAGGCTTTTTTGTATCTTTAATGTAATCCAACATTTTCACTGCCATATACATAAAGGAGAAAAAGCAAAGTTTCTTTCAAATGACCACTTTTAGAAACTAAATAGCTCAACATTTCTAATGCCAATCACTGCACTTGTGTCTCCAAGCGCCCTACTTCTTTAACCACAAGATCAATGTTTATAATTGGATTAAAGTACAAGGCCCAGTAAAACAAACAATTGCAGACAAACTGAGGTATAAAAGGCCAAAAAAATAGCAACAAAAAGACCCTGGGTTGAGACTTTCCAGAAATGTCTCCACATTCTGTGAGGAATAGTCCTGTGGAAAAGGAAAGGGAGAGGCCTAATAGAACTTCGTTTTTAACCATTCTAAGCTAAGTAATACATGCTGCAGCCTCAAATTATTCAACGCTTACTCAGTTACCTGCAAAGCATCATTCTGCACTCCGTAGAAACTTTCTTAAATATAGTAATACTACATTTTATGTGAGGATGTGTTAAGTCAATTTATTCAGACTACACACTACAGCAGTTAAAGTGGTAAAATTCTGGATTTGTCACAGATTATGTTCATATACTCTGTTCTCGTTTGAAGATGTTTTGCCCCCTAGCTGCTGACAAAGAAAGTGAATACCCCATATACATGTATGTCAAACCAGGACTTTCTCCTATGCGACTTCTAAAAACTATAAACAAAAGATAAAGCAATTATGAAGTGATATTAATACTGCTTTGGTCTTACTTCAGGTGTAACTTTCCTGTTACTTCTAGCAATTTTGATCACCATCAGAGGTGATATCAGTCTAACTAAACTAAGTTGAGGATACATCCTTTAGTAACTATACCATAAGTATATCTTGACAGAATTCTTGCATGTGTAGTTCTCAGCTGACAGCTAATACCATTTACCATAAAAGGCAGGTACACATTAACTCTTATCCTGAGAACTAATGGTTAGGAACATGCATATTACCATTACTGCATTTGCTACATCTGATCAGTAAAACCAGCTGTAAGAAATCCTTTCAAGTATTCACAGCAAGAAATATATTCAAGACTGGAAATTAGTGCATGTGCAGATTTAAATTCACATATTCTTATTAGTTTCAGAGTTGTGGTTAGACACTACATGTAATTTCAGTAAGCAAGTGTGAAATCATAAGAGACTTATTTTCCAGTTTATAAGGTCACATACTTCCTAAACCCTTCAACAAGCTCACTAAGACTTACTTCAATTCTCTTCTTGACCAGAGCCTCCAAAAGGTGAGTAGCTCGAGAACAGAGAGCAGCATTGCATTTACAATTATAAATCTTGATGTCCAATAGTGCACATCCAGCCAATCCCAAGCAAACTCAGCTATCAGCTGGTATGGCACAAATAAACACTTCACAATGAATTCTCTCCACTGTTTCCAAGAAGGATCTTTGAGGTCCTGTAAATTAGGAAAAAACAAAACAAAACAAAAAACCTGTTAAACGGTTTCCTACTAAATAGACACAATACTGGCTGGCTTATTTCCACTACTCCTCTGTTTTTTTGTGTTTTTTTTTTTTTTTTTTTTTCGTTTTTTTTTTTTTAAATGAAAGCAGTAATTAATCTTTTTTTATGCTTTCTAGTAGATAGCACTGTAATACAGTAATTTCCATTGGAGTAGCACAAAACATCACAAATGTCCAGACTTTATAATGCCATTTTTTAAATGCGGATATTTTCAGATAAAGGTTTTTCTACAGTCATGTGATCTTAAAAAAAAAAAAAAAAAGAATCATAAGAATCGTTTTCACGTGTTTAAAATCCTTAAATATCTTGCTAAAGGTTGTAATCACAACACTGTTAATCTCATTCAATAAAATAAGAGGAACCATTTACTTTACAATATTTCTTTTTAAAAAGTTGAATGGTAATGAGATGAAATGATGAATAATCACATCACGATTTTAAGCAACTATATTGCTTCAAATTGCTTCAACCATGCAGCACTTGAACACTTACTAATAATTTTGTGACAATATCTTCATACTGGTTTTCTTGCATAGGACAAATTGTGTGGATGAAAGGTAGGAAAGCTTCTGCATAATCAAACAGATACAAGTATAACATACTGAGTCTCGGAGAACTCTTCAGTGCATACAGAATAAAGAGTGATTTTCCTGGATTTACTGCCTGAAAGGTATCAAATTTAAAACAATGAAAAAATTAAGGGACACATCAGTTTTTAGACTTTTTAAAAAGATCATTTTTCAAATACAACAGTTCAACAGTTCATTAACTGGGCATTATGTATATATATATTATATATACACACACTTTTTTTCCCCCCAGAGTTAATTCTACTTCCTTAACATTGCTTTTGACTTTAAGAGAATTTTATTTGAAATACATTTTAAAATTACTTTATATAGATTACAGACTTTATACAGAATTTACCTTATATTCCCAAAGGTTCTGTGGTGGTTTAACACCTAAAGTTTTGACACATTCCAATTCTGCCATAATAGTTTTTCTATGATTATTGTTCACTATACTGTAAGGCTCTTTTGTGAAATCCTCCTCTGTCAGTGTGAGAAGGAGCCTACAAAAGCAGAAGAATTCAGAAGGTAAACAGTGACTCTTCACCCAAAAGATATGACTAACAAATCAGTAATTACATAATGAAACAATAAGCTACTGATAGAAGTTATCACCTTTTGGATTACATTCCACATGGAGTGTTCTGAATCAACTGCATTTCAGAGCCTAGGTTTTAAATATCCTTCTTTTCAAGTTTTCTCTTCACAGAATCACAGAATTTCTAGGTTGGAAGAGACCTCAAGATCATCGAGTCCAACCTCTGACCTAACACTAACAGTCCCCACTAAACCATATCCCTAAGCTCTACATCTAAACGTCTTTTGAAGACTTCCAGGGATGGTGACTCCACCACTGTTGTCGACGGAAGGAAGACCCAGACGCTCAATATGAGTGAACAGTGAACTTCAACTTTAATGGATAGCTCAGTCGCCTTTTATCTAGTTTGAACATAATCAATTCATACATATTGCAGAAACTAAGCTCAGGATTGGTTAACACTTCCCGGGCTTTTCAGTCTAGTCCTCCTTCTTTTGGCTACCTGTCCCGCCTTAGGGACTTTCCCTGATCGCCCAAGGGCATCGTGTCCTTGAGCCTGATTGGCTCTCAGCCAGCTGCATACGTGCTAAGGCTCATGTGAGTTGAGTTCGGTGCTTCACTAGCCCATTGTCTCCAAACTGCTCAACATCCACATGTCCTACCTCACTTAACGATTCCTCCACACACCACTTCCCTGGGCAGCCCGTTCCAGTGTCTAACAACCCTTTCAGTAAAGTTCTTCCTAACATCTAACCTAAAACTCCCCTGGCGCAACTTAAGCCCATTCCCCCTCGTCCTGTCACCAGGCACGTGGGAGAACAGGCCAACCCCCACCTCGCTACAGCCTCCTTTAAGGTACCTGTAGAGAGCAATAAGGTCGCCCCTGAGCCTCCTCTTCTCCAGGCTGAACAAGCCCAGCTCCTTCAGCCGCTCCTCATAGGACTTGTTCTCCAGGCCCCTCACCAGCTTCGTCGCCCTTCTCTGGACCCGCTCAAGCACCTCCATGTCCTTCTTGCAGCGAGGGGCCCAAAACTGAACACAGTACTCGAGGTGTGGCCTCACCAGAGCCGAGTACAGGGGGACGATCACCTCCCTAGCCCTGCTGGTCACACTGTTTCTGATACAAGCCAGGATGTTGTTGGCCTTCTTGGCCACCTGAGCACACTGCTGGCTCATATTCAGCCGACTGTCCACCATCACTCCCAGGTCCTTCTCTGCCAGGCAGCTCTCCAACCACTCATCTCCCAGCCTGTAGCTCTGCTTGGGGTTGTTGTGCCCCAGGTGCAGGACCCGGCATTTGGCCTTGTTAAACTTCATGCAGTTGACCTCAGCCCATCGGTGCAGCCTATCCAGATCCTCCTGCAGAGCCTTCCTACCCTCGAGCAGATCGACACACGCACCTAGCTTGGTGTCATCTGCAAACTTACTGAGGGTGCACTCAATGCCCTCGTCCAGATCATTGATAAAGATATTAAAGAGGAGCGGCCCCAGCACCGAGCCCTGGATGACGCCACTAGTGACTGGCCTCCAACTGGACTTGACTCCATTTACCACAACTCTTTGGGCCCGGCTATCCAGCCAGTTTCTAACCCAACGAAGCATGTGCCGGTCCAAGCCAAGAGCAGCCAGTTTCTTGAGGAGAATGCTGTGGGAGACAGTGTCAAAAGCCTTGCTGAAGTCAAGGTAGACCACATCCACAGCCTTTCCCTTGTCCACCCAGCGCGTCACTTTGTCATAGAAGGAGATCAGGTTCATCAAGCAGGATCTGCCTTTCATAAACCCATGCTGGCTGGGCCTGATCGCCTGCTTGCCCTTCAAGTGCCGCATGATGACTCCCAAGAGGATCTGCTCCATGAGCTTCCCTGGTACTGAGGTCAAACTGACAGGCCTGTAGTTCCCTGGGTCAGCCCTCCGGCCCTTCTTGTAGATGGGCGTCACATTCGCTAGCCGCCAGTCAGCTGGGACCTCCCCCGATAGCCAGGACTGCTGATAAATGATGGATAGGGGCTTGGCCAGCTCCTCTGCCAGTTCGCTCAGTACCCTTGGGTGGATCCCATCCGGCCCCATCGACTTGTGCACATCCAAGTGCCGTAGCAGGTCACCAACCAGTTCTTTGTGGATAGTGAGGGCCACATCCTGCTCCCCATCCCCTTCCACCAGCTCAGGGTACTGGGTATCCAGAGAACAACCGGTATTGCCGCTAAAGACTGAGGCAAAGAAGGCATTGAGCACCTCCGCCTTTTCCTCATCTCTTGTAACTAAGTTTCCTCCCGCATCCAGTAAAGGATGGAGATTCTCCTTAGTCCTCCTTTTTGTGTTGATGTATTTATAAAAGCGTGTTTTGTTATCTTTAACGGCAGTAGCCAGATTGAGCTCCAGATGAGCTTTGGCCTTCCTAATTTTGTCCCTGCACAGCCTCGTTACATCCTTATAGTCCTCCCTGGTGGCCTGTCCACTTTTCCAAAGATTATAAACCCTCTTTTTTCTCCTAAGCTCAAGCCACAGTTCTCTGTTGAGCCAGGCTGGTCTTCTTCCCCGCTCGCTCATCTTTGGGCACATGGGAACAGACCGCTCCTGCGCCATTAGGATTTGCCTCTTGAAGAGCGCCCAGCCTTCCTGGACCCCTCTGCCCTTCAGAACCGCCTCCCAAGGGATTCCACCAACTAGTGTCCTGAGCAGCCCAAAGTCAGCCCTCCGAAAGTCCAATACAGTGGTTTTACTGGTTCCCTTCCTGGCCTCGCCAAGAATGGAGAACTCCACCATTTCGTGGTTACTCTGCCCAAGACAGCTCCCGACAATCACATCCTCCACCAGTCCTTCTCTGTTTGTGAAGAGAAGGTCTAGCGGGGCACCACCCCTGGTAGGTTCACTAACCAGCTGCGTCAGGAAGCGATCTTCCACGCTCTCCAGAAACCTCCTAGACTGCTTTCTCTGGGCTGTGTTGTGCTTCCAGGATATGTCAGGGAAGTTGAAGTCCCCCACGAGTACAAGCGCTGAAGATTTCGCAACTTCTGCTAGCTGCCTGTAGAACTCCTCATCCGTCTCCTCATCCTGGTTCGGCGGTCTATAGCAGACCCCAACCAGGACACTAGCCTTGTTGTCCCTGCCGATCCTAACCCAAAGGGACTCGCTCTTGTCATTCCTAGCCTCGAGTTCTACAACCTCAAAAGACTCTCTAATATAGAGAGCCACAGCACCACCCCTTCTGTGCTGCCTGTCCCTTCTGAAGAGCTTATAGCCAGGCATTGCAGCACTCCAGTCATGAGACTGGTCCCACCACGTCTCCATGATGGCAACCAAGTCGTAGCCTGCCTGCTGCACGTTGGCTTCCAGCTCCTCCTGTTTGTTACCCATGCTGCGTGCATTGGTGTAGATGCACTTCAGCTGGGCCATTACCTTATTCCCCGGCCTTGCTATTGTTCCCCCTGGCACAGCTCCAACAATCCTTGTTTCACCCCCATCCCCCTTCTTACCTAGTTTAAAGCCCTATCAATGAGCCCCGCCAGCTCCTGGCCCAGGATCCTTTTTCCCCTAAAGGATAGGGACCGTCTACGGCCATCAGACCAGGTGCTGAATAGACTGCCCCATGGTCGAAAAACCCAAGATCTCTGCATTGGCACCAGCCCCGGAGCCACGTATTTAACAGGTGGGCTGTCTGTGTCCTCTCCGTACCCCTCCCTGTCACCGTAGGGATGGATGAAAACACTACCTGCACTCCCGCTCCGTCCACTAACCGTCCCAGCCCCCTAAAGTCTCTTTTGATTGCCTTCAGGCTTCTGTCTTCAATGTCGTCACTGCCCGCCTGGACTATCAGAAGAGGATAATAATCAGAGGGGCGTACCAGGTTGGGGAGCTTCCTGGCAACGTCCCTGACCCTGGCCCCGGGGAGGCAGCAGACTTCCCTACGGGTAGGGTCAGGCCGACAAATAAGGCCCTCTGTTCCCCTAAGGACAGAGTCTCCTACAACAATCACCCTTCTTTCTTTCTTGATGGAGGCAGTCCTGAGGCGTGGAGTCGACCTCCTCGCCCTAGGCATCCTCCTGGGAACACTTTCTACCTCTTCCTCAGTTGCTGGTCTCTCAAGCTCCAGGGCCTCAAACCTGTTGTGTAAGGGCACCTGGGAAGGTGGGGCCGGAAGGGGAGGGCATCGCCTGCCATGTCGAGCAGGGACCTGTCTCCATTCCTCCTCAACTCCCAGATCCCCTCCCTCTGCCCGACGGCGACAGGGCAGGGGGTCCACCCCCATTTGGGGTGTCTCACCCTGGTACCTGTCCTTGAGGCCCTGCAGGGAGTTACTCCACAAGTAACTACTAGTGTTATGCTTGTGCCATTTGGTTGGAAAGGTGAAATTGAGAATTTTCTTGATATTAGTAGGGACTCTGTGTTCAGAATATACCCCTGGCCATTCGTGGGTAGCTTCTTAGCACAATAATCAGTACAACTGCCAGCAATTGCAAACAGTTGTGAGAGTGGCTAACAGATATGAGTACTGCTGGCATATGTCTGTCTATGAGGAAGCCCATTCCTTCTTGTACTTGCTGCTCATCACTGTCCCCACTCGATATCTACATAGTGAATTAATGTGATTCCAGCAGGTGACCTTACTTCTTCTAATGTCTTAGCCAATTCAGCATGTGTTGGCGCAAGTCTGTGCTTAACCCCCTGGGGTAAATGAGCAAAAAATGCTGTTTTACTTCCAAAGTAAAAGCAAATTTGTCTTGTTCCTGCCGTGGTAATGTGACCAAAAGATATCTCTAACACCAACGACAGCCATCATTTAAATCCTGCTGTATTAAGCAGATTAGGTATGTCAGACAGACTGGGTGCTGTGGCAGTCAATGGTTTAGTAGCTGCATTCAACTTTCTGTAGTCTACTGTAAGCCACCATGTCCTTACTATTTGTAACTGGCCATACTGGAGAAGTTCTTTCCTCTTGCTAGGCTGCCTGCTAGCAAGTTGATTGGGAGTACAACAAGAAAAATTTTTTTAATCAACATTTGGTGTGATTTTCAGCAACACAACTGCTATGAGGACTGCAAGAAAAATGCTTGCCAGGTTTGCAGCATAATACCAGTAGCCTGAATAAGTTATAAGGCAATAGAAGTCCCCTAGTAAAGGACG